TTGGAATACATACATACATATATATATATATATATATATAATATAACTAATATATATATAATATAACTATTATATATATAACTATTATAGTTATATAACTATTTTATATATATAACTATTATATAGTTATATAACTATATAACTATTTTATATATATAACTATTATATAGTTACATAACTATATAACTATTTTATATATATAACTATTATATAGTTACATAACTATATAACATATATATATAAAACTTTTCTCTTTTTTTTTTGAGACAGGGTCTTGCTCTGTCACCCAGTTTGGAGCACAGTGGCACCGTCACAGTTCACTGCAGCCCTGACTTCCCAGGCTCAAGTGATCCTCCCACCTCAGACCCCTGAGTAGCTGAGACTATAGGCATGTACCACCATGCCCAGATAATTTTTAAATGTTTTGTAGTGATATGGTCTCACTATGTTGCCGGGGCTGGTCTGAAACTACTGTGCTCAAGTAATCCTCCTGCTTTGGCCTCCCAAAGTGGTTGGGATTACAGGCATAAGCCACCATGCCTGGCCTATATGTCACATTTCTAACTGCAACAATTGAGTCCGAGTATGTGGTATCTTAATTTTGACATACAATTTCCTCACAAAGCTTGCCAAATTTACATTCCTGCTAACAGGGTTATGGAAGTGCCAAGTGTGGGTATCACTGAACTTAAAAGAAAAAGCCAATCTGATGGGTTAAAAAAAATGTGGGGGGATGCACAAATATCTTGAAGGATGATGCTTTACCTTTTACGTAGACCAAAATTTACATTTTCAAGGTGTCTCCTCTTTAAGGAGGCTTATCAGCCCCATTGCAGGGGGAGGAAAGACAGGAGTGAGGAAGGGTAAAAGGTGATGAGATTCAGAACCATGGTTTGAGAGGCAGTGTAGTTTGCTAGCTAAGAACAGACCCCAACTTCTCATTTGAAACCTCCTCTCTAGTTGAGTCATGGAGATAATTGAAGCTGGTCATATCTCCCTCTCTTTGTTCATTTTGGAGAGGCCCATATCGACTGTCTACACGGTCTATCAACAGCAAAGGGACTTAGAAATTCACTAGTTCAATCAACTGACATTATTTAGCACACCTAATGTACCAGGAAATTTCTTCTTCTAGGTCTCACTTCCCCAAATGACAGTTAAACCCTTCATTTGGTGACCTGTAGAAAGGCCGAACTGTGCACTTCAAAGGGCATCAAAGAGGACACCCCAGCAGCCAGTCAGCATTATGGGAATTTCCCCAGTTTGCTTCGTGATAGTGTGGTATAGTGGAAAGTACGCGAGATGGGAAGACAGAGGACTCAGACTTTATCAGCTACTCTTGTCAAATGTAGCTGAGGATTCACAGATGACCATGTCATATAGCATGGTCAAGTAACTTATCCTCTGCGAATTCATCTCCAGAACTGTAAAATGCAGATACTGTCAGCTCTGTCTGTCTCGCAGTATTGAGAAAATCAATGAAAATGTTGGAAGTGAAAGAGCTTTATAAATTTTACCTATCCACATACAAATATCAGAGTTATCATTTGTGGAGATGACCCAGCTTTTGGCGGCATATTCTATTCATTAGCAAAATATTATTTGATCCATTAATATAGTTGTAAAAGTATAGTATGGCAAAACCAGACATAATTAAGGGATCCCAAGAGTGATACAGAAGGAACAGCAAATTTCAGAATAAGCTGACTTTCTTCAGTTGGAATGGCTGCCTTGAGCACTGGGTGAAGGATGATTCTGAGGCCAGATGTCCAGTTCTCCAAAGAAAGTATGCCATGATTGATTAGCAATGTCTGCCAGAGGAGTAAAATATAAGATAGTCATCCTGTATTTGGCATCTCCAGTCAATCTGTGCACCAATTACACATTTCCCGTAAACATAATCACTAGATTGAAAATTGGCCTCACCGTAAGAAAATTAAAACATTTTATGAAATAAAGAGGAAGAAACTATCAGGCTTTTTTTTTTTTTTTTTTTTTTTTTTGAGACAGAGTCTTCTCTGTCACAGGCTGGAGTGCAGTGGCGTGATCTCAGCTCACTGCAACCTCCCCCCCAACCCCCCACATTAAGTGAGTCTCATGCCTCAGCCTCCCAAGTAGCTGAGACTATAGGTGCATGCCACCACACCTGGCTAATTTTTGTATATTTTCCAAAGATGGGGATTTCACCATGTTGCCCAGGTTGGTCTTGAACGCCTGAGCTAAAGTGATTCGCCCACCTTGGCCTCCCAAAGCGCTAGGATTACAGGCATGAGCCATTGCACCAGGCCTACCAGGCATCTTTTTTTACAGATTGGCAGAGTTTGGAGTATCTACTTAAACTAAATTTTACGTATAATCTAGTTTAAGCCCTTCACTTGACGGGTTTAAAGCCAGATGCCCAGAGAGTGGAAGGGATGCCGCTCTCACCTTGTGATATTAAAGGAGATAATGAATGTGAAAGTGCTTTGAAAACTGCAAACTATATACAAATGTAAAGCAGTTCGATATTCTTTTTTGTTTATGCACAATTATTAACTCTTCCTCAAAAGTGACTCCCGATCCCCAAATCTAGCTTGGTTTTATCCTTTTATCTCGTGTTTTTACCATTCATATCTGAAAAAGGTCAGTTAGGGAGGCCTTAAATTAAAAAGCTTACAATGCCAACTGGTAGTATCTTTTAGAATCTGTGGTTGGAAAGTCATCTTTTATATTTTAATTATTTTGGTTTCCTGACTATAAAATGATAGTACTAAAGTGGAAAAAATGCTAATTATCACACAAAAATGTTTCCTTATAGAAAATAGAGAGTGAATATTAATATTTTTTCCAGCAGAGGAAATTTCACAATGAGGAGAGCAGCAAGCAGAGCTTTTTAAGTAAAATCGCACTTCTTTTTTATTGTTTCATAATTTAGTCGTGAAATCAGCCTCTCTTTAACAGACAGCAGGTTACTGTTATTTTTACCAATTATTTTATTCTAAACTTTAAAGTATTTTATCACAAATGCCAAATAATGTGACATTCCCCCAATTTTTAAATGACTTTTAGTGGATTAAACCTATAAAATGATGTAAAACTTAGTTCTGTGTAGGTCTAAACACTAATTTTTCTTTTAACAGGCATGAAGGATATGTACCAAGCAGTTATCTGGTGGAAAAATCTCCAAATAATTTGGAAACCTATGAGTAAGATATTTTCTTTGTTTTTGGGAAACATAGTCCTAAGGAATCCTCCCTAGGTTAGGAGTAAATTATTGGTTGACTGTTAAAATGCCAGATGATCTCCACTGCATAGCAGTGTGCATGCATACTACCCAGATCCTGGTTTCTAAATAACACTTTCCACTAAAAAGAACCAGGACTTTCTGGAGAAATAGCTTGGAGTAGGGATAGAACAGAAAGAACTTGGAACATCTTTTTGTGCCAGAAAGTAAAGAAGTACTTGAAAATACATTTTTCTTGTTTAATTTTTTTGAGACAGGGTCTCGCTGCCACCTAGTCTGGAGTGCAGTAGGGTGATCTTGGCTCGTTGCAACTTTGACCTACTAGGCTGAAGTAATCCTTAGCCTCCCAAATATCTGGGACTACAGGCACATGTCACCCATTTCCAGCTAATCTGTAAATTTTCTGTAGAGACAGGGTCTCACTAGGTTGCCCAGGCTGGTCTCAAACTACTGGGTTCAAGTAATCCTCCCGCCTTGGCCTCCCAAACTGCTGGGATTACAGGTGTGAGCCACTGTGCCCAGCCAAAAAGATGTAGGCATGTCAGATAAGCACAGAAGTTGATTCTTACTTTGTTTATTATGTTTTTTGTTTATGCACAATTATTAATTCTTGCTCAAAAGTGACTCCCGATCCCCAAATCTAGTCTGGCCTTACCTTTTTTCTCTTGTTTGTACCATTCATACCTGAAGAAGATATTTTATTTGTTTTTGGAAAATACAGTCCTAAAGAATCCTCCCTAGGTTAGGAATAAATTATTAGCTGACTATAAAAATACCACAAGATCTCTACTGCAGTAGAGATCATCCATTTGATGAAATCTGGGACAATTTGAGTATCAAAATAAATAATGAATATTAAAATAAGTAATAGACTACAAACCATTGGACAATGTAAGAATCTGTACTGGGCCGGGCGCGGTGGCTCCAGCCTGTAATCCCAGCACTGTGGGAGGCCGAGGCGGGTGGATCATGAGGTCAAGAGATCGAGACCATCCTGGTCAACATGGTGAAACCCCGTCTCTACTAAAAAATACAAAAAATTAGCTGGGCATGGTGGCGCGTGCCTGTAATCCCAGCGACTCAGGAGGCTGGGGCAGGAGAATTGCCTGAACCCAGGAGGCGGAGGTTGCGGTGAGCCGAGATCGCGCCATTGCACTCCAGCCTGGGTGACAAGAGCGAAACTCCATCTCAAAAAAAAAAAAAAAAAAAGAATCTGTATTAAATAGACTGATAGATAAAGAAGTAAATACATAAAAAGGAAAGGTTTTTTTTCCTATAGTAGAATGTCAACTAATGAATGATAAAGTTTAAAAATCATCATTTTGTAAAAATCATCATTTTGTAGCTCAAAATGATTAACTGATTCAGGCAAGAATCCTTAATGAATGTCACCACTGGCAGGTTAAAGTTTGGTGAGCTATGGCATATTTACATAGTCTCAAAGCATCTCCTCACAAATCACTTATAATTACTAAATGGAGATAACTAGTAGGCCCATCTTAAACAATCAATCAAAATGCACATAAATAATGGGGCGAAAAGATTTGATGTGTCTCCTTGTGTGATGCACTGAGAAGGGCACACATCACTTCTGTGATATTTCTGCTCAAAAATGCACAACTTGGATTTACTCATGAGGATATGTTTATAAAGGTATATTAGACACATCCAAATTAAGGAATATTCTCTAAAATTAATGTCCTGTGCTCTTCAAAAAAATGTTTGTACCATGAAAGACACAACAGGCTGAGAAATTGGTCCACATAAAAAAAACTAAAGAGGCCAGGCGCGGTGGCTCACACCTGTAATCCCAGAACTTTGGGAGGCTGAAACAGGTGGATCACACGAGATCAGGAGTTCAAGACCAGCCTGACCAACATGGTGAAACCTCTGTCTCTACTAAAAATTTAAAATAAGCTGGGTGTGGTAGCTCATGCCTGTAATCCTAGATACTTGGGAGGCTGAGGCAGAAGAATCTCTTGAACCCAGAAGGCGGAGGTGGCAGTGAGCCAAGATCTTGCCATTGCAACTCCAGCCAGGGCAACAAGAGTGAAACTCCATCAAAAAAAAAAAAAGACTAAAAAGACATGGTAACTTAATATGGTAGTGATCTTGGGCTGGATCTTGAACCACACGAAAACTATTTTTGTTATAATATACATTATTGGGACAATCAATAAAATTTGAATAAGATCTGCAGTTAAATAGTGGTATTATGTAGATCTTAAGTCTTATGATTTTGGTAATTGTATCGTGGTTAGATAAGTGTATACTCTATATCTTAGGAAACAGACACAGAAGTACTTAGGAGTAAAAGTCAATTCTCAAATGGTTCAGAAAATAAATCAATCTACATCTATCTAAAAAGAATACAAAAGCAAATATATAAAATGTCAGTAATTGGCTTATCTGGGTGATGTGTATATGAGGGTTCTTTTATACTATTTTACAGCTTTTCTTTAAGTTTGAAATTACTTAAAAAATTAATTACTCACTAAATATAAGATACCACGCCTGAAGAATAAAGCTAATGAGGATACCTATTCACACATTAGGGTTCTTAATTCAAATGTGGCTGAGTTATTTTGTTGCTGAAATTCTAATAGATTCCTTAATGAAGAACCATCGTTTTCTGGCGCTCTCAACTTGGCTTGTTTTGATCAAGTATGTGTGAGTAGCCCTTCCCTCAGTGAACAGAAGTGTCATCAGTTCTAAGAATTCTTGAGCTGAAATAAAACATACAGGAGATATGCTTAAATAAAATTTAAAAATATTTATAGGCAATACCTTTGGAGGAAAAAACAATAAGCATTTATTTCAAATGACCACTAGGCTATGTAGTTTTGTTTGTTCATCCTTGCTTTTAATCAGAATCTCTTTGTTTATGATCAAAGGAACAAACTCAGAATTCCAACAGGTTAAGCGATAGGGAGGCCTGGAGCAAATAGAAAAAGTCTATTCACCCACCTAAAGGTATTTTAAGCCATTTTTAAAATGAAACACTATACCATACAAACCAATCTATTTATACTGTGGACTTTCAGTTTGCATTTTCCAGATTATGAATCTCAGCTGGAAAATAACATGACTTACAAGCCAACATTCAGATATTTAGTATACAACTGGATGGATGTATGAAAGATATCCAATATGATAACTTTTTATCCATGAACTTAGAGTTGTCTAGTTTGGGGTGAGATCTGTGTAAGTACTTACAAATGTACCACCTGGGAACATAATCATGGGTTGGTAAATTGAATGGATTCAGATCTCCCGCCTTGGTTTGCAATCATGACCTTGGGCAAGTTACCTCACCCTGTTTGAGTTCTGATCCCTTCTCCACAAAATGAAGGCTCAGACAAGTTGAAGGAAAGCAAATCATGACTCTTGCCGGCATTCCCCTCCCCGGCACTGAACTCAGGGAGACATCACTCCTTGATAGTGAAACTACTTACCCACCATGCTGATGACAACCTTTTCAATGTACAGCTCTCAGCAGCCACTACTACTGCTGGGGGCTTGTGTATGACATAAAGCCTATATTTGCCCAACGCTCAGTTAGATAATCTCTAGGAGCCCATGTTGGTGTAACGTACTGATCTGTCTTACAATGTTCAAAAACCTCTAACGAATTCATGAATTCCTTTAGTCATGGCTACTCTCAAAAAGCCAAACAAGTTCAGTAAGTGGTATTCCTTCCCTACCCAGAGCTTCTCTCCCCCTGGATTTATTAATTTTCAAGACTGGTTATTAACCAGTGATTAGTCTGCCTCCTCTTACCTAAAAAGCAGCCATGGAGGCCAGGATGTGGCTCAAATATTGTTAACAACATAAAAAAAAAATTATCCCTAAAACTCATTTATATTCTTCTTTACCGTTTTATTGTTATTCTTCACCAGACAACAAAATTATAAAAATAATGCAACTCCTTGGCAAAATGTCTGGAAGACCAGTCTTAAAGTGGAAAATACTACAGCTATTTTAAAAGGCTATTTGCTAAACTTTCAAACTGGTATTACATTTTTATAGTTGCCCTAACACCCTCCTGCTTATAATCAGCCGTCCCCTGACTTATGAAACAAAGAGGAAAATTAATGTTTTCTAAAACTGTATTTTAGAAAACTTCCAACATATACAAAAGTAGAGAGAATAATATAATGAATATCCATGTTCCCCAAACCCAGCATCAACAATGATCAATATTTTGCCAATTCTGTTTATATGTTCCTTTCCAATTAAACATTTTAATACCTGGAAATGAATCATGCATTTTCTTTTCTTTTTTTTTTTTTTTTTGAGACGGAGTTTCACTCTTGTTACCCAGGCTGGAGTGCAAGGGCACGATCTCGGCTCACCGCAACCTCCGCCTCCTGGGTTCAGGCAATTCTCCTGCCTCAGCCTCCTGAGTAGCTGGGATTACAGGCACGCACCACCATGCCCAGCTAATTTTTTGTATTTTTTTAGTAGAGACGGGGTTTCACCATGTTGACCAGGATGGTCTCGATCTCTTGACCTCGTGATCCACCCGCCTCGGCCTCCCAAAGTGCTGGGATTACAGGCTTGAGCCACCGCGCCAGGCCATGCATTTTCTTTTGAGTTTAAAAGCACTGGTAGAAACATACATGTGCAGGCTTGTTAAATAAATAAAATATATTCTAAAAAAAATTTAAAGCACTGGTAGAAACAGAAAATGACTGTATGATTTTCTGGCATTGTCTTTTATAAGTAAATAATGAAACTTTAAAATGTCATTGACATATGACTTTTCCTTGCTTTCAGGTGGTACAATAAGAGTATCAGCCGAGACAAAGCTGAAAAACTTCTTTTGGACACAGTAAGTCTCCTTAACCTGTCTTTTGACATAAAATGAATTAAGGCTGAATGCAGTGTCTCATGCCTGGAATCTCAGTGATGTGGCAGGTCAAGATGGGAAGATCATTTGAGCCCAGGTTTCAAGTTTCCAGTGAGTTATTATTATGCCACTGGACTCAAGCCTGGGCAAGAGCAAGAACTTGTCCAAAGAAGGAAGGAAGGAGAGAATTAAGGAAGGAAAGAAGGAGGGAAGGAAGGAAGGAAGGAAGGAAAGAAGGAAGAAAGGAAGGAAGAAAGGGAAGGAGGGAGGGAGTGGGGAAGGAGAGAGGAAGGAAGGAAGGAGAGAGGAAGGAAGGAAGGAGAGAGGAAGGAAGGAGAGAGAAAGAGAGAGAAAGGAAGAAAGGGAAAAAGAAAAGAAAGAACTGTACTGTTTTATCAGCCTTGTGGTATTTTATGCCAATGCAGTGGGTTGACATGTTTGATTACAATAGTTTTCATGTCTGCTGTGAATATTCTGGGGATTTACAAGACTAGCAAACCATAGGCTAAGAAACCTGGGCTTGGCACTGACATGCAGACATCACCACAGCTGCAGCAGTCTTTGTGAGTGGTGATGGCTGACTGGGGGTTGCCATCAGGGCTGGTCTGCTATGCCTTCTTCTCAGTCTAGGTCAGGGGTGCCTGTGACCTGATTCAGCCTGGTTGGACTGTAAGTCCAGAGGAAACATAGCACCTGTTTTAACTTACTTTTCATCAACAGTTATTCTCTAAAGCCATGCAGTGTGCATAGCAGGACCGACTTTACTCAGGGATGTCAAGATTAAGGGAGAAAGGGAAGAGAAAACAGAAAACATGGTACTGGGTTCTGGTTCCTGTTGTGTCACCAGCTCAGTGTGTGACTCTGGGGACTTCTCTTCTTCCTTCTGGGCCTCAGTTTTTCAATGAGTACAAGGGGAGCATTGAATTAAGTCAGGGATGACAGTTACCCAGCCCTCATCCTGCCACTTTCTGCTCCTTGTCCTGTGACCAACATGGCTGATCGCAGTCCATGGCATTGGGACTCTATTGAGAAGCAAGACAAATGCTGAAGAAAGAACGAGCAAATAATCTAAAATAAACCAAGGTGAACTCCAGAGGAGCTGGGAAAGATTCCACAAAGGAAAAGAAGTTGAGCTGGGTCCTTACTGGACTTTGGTCTTTCCTTGGCTCTACATCAACTCAGCATTTAATTATTTCCTGTGAGTTTCCCCAGAAACACACATTAGAATTGCTGGGAAATGTTCAAAAACACAGATTCCCAGGTCCCACTCCAGATCCACAGAATCAGAACCTCCAGCGTTAGTTCCCGGGAATCTGTACTTTCTCAAGTTAAATTTACAATGCAAATGTAGGCAGCCCAAACCTGGTGCCACCAATCTGTGTTATTGGATAACAGAGTAGAACTTGATTAATATAAACTAATGGGGAGGAGTACAAAATTAACTAAAACTCTGATTTACACTGTGTTGAAACAAGTGTAGTTTTGTTGTTTTAAATCATACATTGGTTAATGACATCTATGGAGCACTTCAAACAGCCTACATTAATGACTTCCTAAAGATGATTCCTATATTACAGCAGTTCTTATGAGGTGCTAAGCACAAGCTCTGGCAGTTGAAACATTTCTCTTTACTAATTTTCTTTTTTCTTTTTTGAGACTGAGTCTTGCTCTGTCACTCAAGCTGGAGTGCAGTGGCACAAACTCGGCTCACCACAACCTCCACCTCCCAGGTTCAAGTGATTCTCCTGCCTCAGCCACCTGAGTATCTGGGATTACAGGCACGCACTACCACACCCAACTAATTTTTGTATTTTTAGTAGAGACGAGGTGTTGCCAGGTTGGCCAGGCTGGTCTCGAACTCCTGACCCCAGGTGATCCATCCACCTTTGCATCTCAGAGTGCTAGGTTTACAGGCATAAGCCACTGCACTCGGCCTCCTTACTAATATCTTGAGCTACTTTACCAAATTGTCTTCTCCTCCTTAGTTAAATGTGAGGGCAGACTTCAGTGGGTCCCTGTCAGAAGCCCAAATCTCAACATCACACAGTATGTCCACATAACAAACCTGCACACATACCCCTGACTCTAAAATTTTTTGAAAAGACATATATTCCCAGTAAGACACCGATGAAGTTTTCAGGACAGTTTTGTGCCTTTGTGGGGGAATGGGGAAGCGGCTGCTAACATCCTTTGACAGGAGGTATCCTGGAATAGCAGACCGAGCCTTGGTTTTGCTTGCATGCCAGAGTTCAAATCCCAGTTCTGTCACTTTCTAGTTGTGGGTCTTGGGAATGTCACTTAAGCTCTCTGGCACTCAGTGTCACTGGTAATGAAGGATACCAATGTCCAGATGACAGTGTTGTGGTAAGAGTTGGAAAATATCTGTAAAGAGTCTGATACATACATGGGGAGCTTTAATAGGGCAGAGATATATCTGTTTCCACTCATGGTTCACGTCAGAATGAGAACAGTCTGGGATCCATGTAGGAGACCGAGAAATATCTGCTGAAGGACAGGAGTGAATGAAACAGTTGCCATTCTTACTGAAATCTGCTCTTTGCCAAGTGGGCCTACAGTATTTCCTCCTTCTGTGGGCAAGAAAGTGGAGCTGGGGGCATAAGCCTGGTTTCCTGAGATCACTAACCTTCCATTCTTTCTAACCATTCCAGGGCAAAGAAGGAGCCTTCATGGTAAGAGATTCCAGGACCCCAGGAACATACACCGTGTCTGTGTTCACTAAGGCCATTGTAAGGTATGGAGCTAACCCTGCTCAGCAAAGTGGGGAGAAACACTTCTGAAGTGTGTGAGCATTGCAGTACAGACAACAAAGTCAGACAGTGCAAGAGGTAGAGGCTCACTAGAAAGGGTCTGTTTTCCATCTTTACTCGAAGGAAACCAAGGCCATGGAGATCAAGGATAGAACTGAAGAGACTTAGAAAGTGACAGAGCTGGGGATAGATGTCAGGTCCTCTTTCAGTTAGCATCCCTAATTTTAGAGTTCTAAAGACATAAAATACTTGGCACTGTATTGGATGAGTATATAATACATAGAGTAACAGAAAAGATGTTATTATCTGGAAGCAAAAATATATCAACTCCAGTTCTGGCTCTGCTCATAAAACTACCTACCGTTAATTGAGTCTTTATTATGTGCCAGAAAATATGCAGACCATTTCCAATTCTAAAAAGTCCTGAAGGCAGGTATTACTATGCTCATTTCACACAGAAGAAACCGAGGTTCAGGAGCTGATGCGTCCCTGTGGTCGTGGGTCTGAAAGGGTCAAGGTCACGCTCCAGCCAATGGACTGCAAGACCCTTGCTGCTTGTCTGCCCCTCTGGACCTGTTTCTTCTCTGTAAAACGATGTCTAAGAACCTATCTAGGTCTCAAATTCCCTTCTAATTAGAACATTAGTAAGAACGAAGCTGTTTGACAATGGCTAAAGTAGTCAGAATTAAGAGAGGAGACAAATAATTTTTAAGGTGTCTTTGGAAAATTTTTTGGAAGACTGAGGATGTGAGCAGGAAGTGGAGCAAGGGCAGGTGGCAAAGAATCCAATCCAGGGATGGGAGGGAACAGGGTGTACATCACAGAGGGGCTGTATCTCTGCTGTGGCTTACAGACAGGAGGTGACCTGCAACCTGCAATCCCACAGGTATGATGGAGAAGGGATGAGACATAATGTCTGTGTCGAGGCTCCCCACAACTACCCCCAGCTTCAGGGACTCACTAGGAGACCTTCCAGGACTGAGACTTATTGAGATTTAATACAACAAAGTGATCCACAGCAAAATCAGCAAAGGGAAAAGATACATGGGCAAAATCTAGAGGAAGCAAAGCATAAGCTTCTGAGAATCCTCTCCCGCTGGAGCCACACAGGACGTGCTTAATTCCTCCAGCAATGAGCTGTGACCACATGTGAGCACTGTCTACCAGGAGAGCTCATGAGAGACTCAGTGCCCAACGCTTTTATTGGAGGCTGTTTCCACAGGCAGCACCTGTCTAGCACATGCCAAAATTCCAGATACCCAAAAGGAAAACAGGTGTTCATCACAAAGCACATTGTTTCTAACAAAGTTTCAGCACAGCTCATCACCCTCATCAATTAGGGAAAGAGCTGTCCCGAAATCCAAGTTCCCAAACACCAGCCAAGGGCTAACGATGCAAGCAGGCCTTCCTAAGGTGGGTAGTCAGGCCTGTTATGTTCATCCTCTGCAGCAGCACAAAATCAAGTAAGTGTGAAGGGGTCAGAGAGGCTTTCTCAATGTATGTTGACAATCAGTTAAATTCATTGAACAGGCAGGGCAAACACATAGCACATACATCCATTCCCTCATTTTGTGGCAGTGGAAGACCAATCACCAATCCAATCACCAAAACCATCACCAATCCATCACAGCACTGCTGTCCGCTGGGTCCAGACACAGGCTCAGAGTTCTTTTTAACACAGTGCTGCAAGCACCCAGGGCCAACCTGTCAGAACCTACTTACACATTGAACTATAGCTGCCATCTTTGTGAGAGTTTACAAGACAAAGATAATAAGGACTTAATACTAGTAGACTTTTTTGTGTCTCACCATTGCTTCTTAATAATCACTACATTTGCGTTTCATTTGTTTAAGTGAGAACAATCCCTGTATAAAGCACTATCACATCAAGGAAACAAATGACAATCCTAAGCGATACTATGTGGCTGAAAAGTACGTGTTTGATTCCATCCCTCTTCTCATCAACTATCACCAACATAATGGAGGAGGTAAGCTCCAGAGCAGGGGTGGTGCAGGGGTGGACCAGGGCCACCATGCAGGTGAGCAGCGGGCAAGCAAGCAGTACCGCCTGAGCTCCGCCTCCTGTCGGATCAGCGGCATAGATTCTTATAGGAGTGCAAACCCTATTGTGAACAGCACTTGTGGGATCTAGGTTGTGCGCTCCTTATAAGAATCTACTATAAGGACACATGCACACGAATGTTCATTGCAGCACAGTTTACCATAGCAAAGACCTGGAACCAACCCAAATGCCCATCGATGATAGACTGGACAGGGAAAATGTGGCACATATACACCATGGAATATTATGCAGCCATCAAAAACGATGAGTTCATGTCCTTTGTAGGGACATGGATGAACCTGTAAACCATTCTCAGCAAACTGACACAAGAACTGAAAATCAAACACTGCATGTTCTCACTCATAGGCGGGTGTTGAACAATGAGAACACACGGACACAGGGAGGGGAGCATCACACACTGAGGTCTGTTGGGGGGAAATAGGGGAGGGACAGTGAGGGGTGAGGAGTTGGGGAGAGATAGCATGGGGAGAAATGCCAGATATAGGTGATGGGGAGGAAGGCAGCAAATCACACTGCCATGTGTGTACCTATGCAACAATCTTGCATGTTCTTCATATGTACCCAGAAACCTAAAATGCAATTAAAATAAATAAATAAATAAAAATTTAAAAAAGAATCAAATGCCTGATGATCTGAGATGGAACAGTTTCGTCCTGAAACCAACCCCCCTGCCACACCCATCCATGGAAAAACTGTCTTCCATGAAACTGGTCCCTGGCGCCAAAAAGATTAGGGTCCGCTGCTCTACAGGACAAACCCAGAGGGCACCTGGGTTAGGCTTTTTTGAATTGCTATCAAGGAATACCTGAGGCTGGGTAATTTATAAAGAAAAGAGGTTTAATTTGTTTATTGCTGTATAGGAAGCATGGTGCCAGCATCTTCTTGGCTTTTAGGGAGGCCTCAGTAAGATTTTAGTCATGGCAGAAGGCAAAAGGGGAGCAGGTGTATCACATGGCAAGAGCAGGAATAAGGAGGGAGAAGGTGCCACACACATTTAAACAACCAGAGTGTGAACTCAGAGCGAGAACTCATTTATTATTACAAGGGTGGCACCAAGACATTCATGAAGGATCGCCCAATGACCCAAATACATCCCACCAGGCCCCACCTCCAGCATAGGGCCTTACTTTTCTTTTTTCTTTTCTTTTCTTTCTTTCTTTCTTTTTTTTTTTCAGGGTCTCACTCTGTCACCCAGGCTGGAGTGCAGTGGCATGATCTTGGCTCACTGCAACCTCCACCTCCCAGGTTCAAGCAATTCTCTTGCTTTAGCCTTCTGAGTAGCTAGGGTTACAGGTGTGCACCACCATGCCTGGCTAACTTTTATATTTTTGGTAGAGACAGGGTTCACCACATTGGCCAGGCTGGTCTTGAACTCATGACCTCAGGTGATTTGCCTCGGCCTCCCAAAGTGTTGGGATTACAAGCATGAGCCACCGTGCCCAGCCAGGGATTACATTTCAACATGAGATGTGGAGGGGACAAACATCCAAACTATATCAGCACCTACACAGGAAACTTGGAGAAAACTGGCAGAAGCCCACCCTGGCTTCTTCCTGACTACAAATAATAACTAAATATACAAATAGAAAAATACAACAAATATTTAATTATATTATATATCTTCTATTAGCAAAATGTCTTGTGGAAATCATGCAATTTTACTACCTGCCCATCTGCACTCACGATGTTTTCAAGGAGGGTGTGATATCAGTGGTTAGGCTTTGGGATTTGTTTTCCAGAATAAAATTAGCTTTTGCTTTGATTATTTTTTTCTAGTGATTTAAGTTAGATGGTTGCTACAGCAAAGCCCTAACCACTGCTTCTTGGCTTTTCAATCAACTCAGGCCTGGTCACTCGACTCCGGTATCCAGTTTGTTTTGGGAGGCAGAAAGCCCCGGTTACGGCGGGGCTGAGATACGGTGAGCAGTACAATCGGGAATGTAAACTCATGTCCCTAAAGGTCTGGGGCAAATTCTGAATAAACTTGCCTTGAGCCTACCTGTTTCCCAGGCTACAGATCACCATTAAAACAAGTATATTATATACCTAGAGATGATGGCACTAATGAATATTTACATTGTGTATTAGGGAAGTACATTTACGAGCACATTTCTCTAGGTCACATCAGTGGCCATTGGTGCTAGTGACGAGTTCATTAATAAAGTGTTTATTAAGCACCTACTTTGTACAGAGCATTCTGCTAAATGCTATTAGAAAAATATTAGAAAATCATGCCTTAGTACTGTGTTTCCACCATCTTCTAGAACTTTTATATCATCTAGTTGGTTGAGTATCAGACTATTGCAAGAACGGCGAGCTGGCAGCACCTAGAAGTCTGCATAAGAGAGTGTTAAAGTTCTTTGGACTGCCTTTAGGCGTGGCATGATCTCCAGTGCTGCGGCCTCTACTGTGTTTTCTGCTCCTACAGAATTGCTTCACTCACTTGGGATTATCTGCCTGGGCTCTGAAGGCATTTGGCTTTGCATCCCTTGGTCCCAATTGTGTGTTGCTTATGGAGAAGGCTGGTCTAATTTTCATTTATCTCCTGGGTTGGTGGTTCTCAAACTTCAGCGTGCACCAAAGTCTTCTGGAATGCTTATTAAAAATGTTGACTCCTGGCTCCTATCCAAACACTCACCAAAACACAATCCTTGATAGGGTCCTGAAGTCTACTTTTTTTTTTTTCTGACAGGGTCTTGCTCTGTCACCCAGGCTGGAGATGTACTGGCATAATCATGGCTCACTGCTGCCTTGACCTCCTGGGCTCAAGCGATCCTCCCACCTCAGCCTCCCAAGTAGCTGTGACTACAGACATACACCGTCATGCCTGGCTAATTTTTAAAAATTTTTTGTAGAGACAGGATCTCACTATGTTGCCCTGGCTAGTCTTAAACTCCTGGGCTCAAGCAATCCTCCTGCCTCGACCTTCCAAAGTGTTGGGATTACAGTCATGAGCCACTGTGCTCTGCTGAGTCTACATTTTAAACAAGCATGCTAGGTAACTTTGATACAGGTGGCCAGGGGGCAATAATTTGAGAACCACTGCCACACATGGGCTTCTTTATCCCTAACCAGCACCATGTCTGGCACACAGTACCTACTAGTGCTCAATACTGCTTGCTGTTGAGTCTCTGCCTCAAAGAGGTAGAAATCTGGCTATTTAGGTACCAGACCAAGCATTGGGGAGGGGTAACGACTCTTTAGCCTCCTTATGAAAATAAGGGTATTCTAATAAAGGTAGAGTCTTAATGTGTCCATGCTGGATAGGATCTCAGATATTATCTGGTCAACCCACTCATTTTGACAGTGAGAAAACTGAGCCTCGGGATCTGGTATTTGTTTGCTGAACATTTCTTGAGAGCCTCCCATGTGCCAGACACCATGCTAGCTTGTGCCTCTGCACAAATTCTCTTTGAAATTATCTCTTTAACTGCCCCCCAGCCCCCGCCAGTAAGGCCTAGCAGAGTGCTGTGTATATAGCAGATGCTCTTGATAGTTGAATGAATGAATAAATGATCAGCTCAAATGAAATTTACTTAGTGTGAAAAATGACAATAAAAAATTCACGGTCAAACATAGATTTGGTTGGAACATTGCAAGAACCCTTTCGTTAGTATTTTGATTAATATCGTTTCTTTAATATCTTGATTCATGCCATTCTCCTTCTTTTTTCCATGTTACCTTCCCACACATATTCTCATAGTTTTGCAGCATATCCAATGTTATTATGTGGGGAAAAGATAATTTTTTGCCATCTTTGAATTATATTAACAATAGGCTAAAATTCTAGGTAGGGCTTTTCAGTCCCCTGGTATCCCAATACCTTATATCTACTGCTTGCCAGCCCTAGAGAACTATCTCTCTTTCTTTCAGGGAAATGGGTGATCGATCCCTCGGAGCTCACTTTTGTGCAAGAGATTGGCAGTGGGCAATTTGGGTTGGTGCATCTGGGCTACTGGCTCAACAAGGACAAGGTGGCTATCAAAACGATTCGTGAAGGGGCTATGTCAGAAGAGGACTTCATAGAGGAGGCTGAGGTCATGATGTGAGTGGCCAAAACAAGGATGTGCTGAAACTCAGGGGGGAATATCGGTTCTGTGTTCTTGAAACATCATGCAAATGCCATGTGCTACTATCTCCCTGTGCAAATTCCCGGCTTCCTATTGCACAAAGAATAAAATCAGACTCTTCACAGTGGTCTCCAAGGCCCACCATAATCTAGTGATGCCCACCTCCCCTTCTCAGCTCCTACCCATCTTTCCTCCGGTCCATGACATGCCAGCCATAACTGGCCTCTGCCCGTCCTCACACTCACAGCTGGCTCCTTGCCATTTGTCAGGTCTCAGCTCCAATGACATGTTTTTGTTTTGGGGAGGGAATGACTATTATTTTCATCCAAACCATAATAGACAAAATGACCATTGACTATTCTGGCACCCTAATATTTTCAGCATTTTGGGGGAGACTAAGTTTAGACCACCTCACCCCTTGTTTTTTTCTTCCAGGAAACTGTCTCATCCCAAACTGGTCCAGTTGTATGGGGTGTGCCTGGAGCAGGCCCCCATCTGCCTGGTGTTTGAGTTCATGGAGCACGGCTGCCTGTCGGATTATCTGCGCAGCCAGCGGGGGCTTTTTGCTGCAGAGACCCTGCTGGGCATGTGTCTGGATGTGTGTGAGGGCATGGCCTACCTGGAAGAGGCGTGTGTCATCCACAGAGACTTGGTATGGGAATGCAGGGTGAATACCCACAGGTGCAGGGTGAAGGGACATGTCCCCCTGAAATGGCTGGGAATGCATTAATAAATAACACCTCACAATCTCCTTTCTTCTCTCAACTTCTCCCTTCCTCCACCACTTTGAGTGGTCCTAGCGGAAAGTACTTCATGCGGACTTACATCTGGGCTCTAATCTCAGCCCAAACTCTTTCACCTGCTGCATGTCAGTTTACATTCTTCCAAAATGGAGATGACTGCCACTCCTTCTTAACCTCTCTGTGACTCAGTTTCCTCTTGGTAAATGGAAGAAACTGAGTTTGTCTGAAGGTGTTATTCTATCAGAATGACACTGGGGAAACCTTTAAGTTACTCTCACAGTCTCTGGTGGCTGGGACTCAGGAATATTCATTTGAACACATTCCCCATATAATTCATACGCACATTAAAATTTGAGACACACGGCTGGGCGTGATGGCTCACACCTGTAATCCCAATACTTTGGGGGCGGAGCCAGGTGAATCACAAGGTCAGGAGTTCGAGACCAGCCTGGCCAACAGGGTGAAACCCCATCTCTACTAAAAATACAAAAAATTAGTTGAGCCTGGTGGCTGGCGTTTGTAATCCCAGCTACTCATGAGGCTGAGGCAGGAGAATCGCTTGAACCTGGGAGGCAGAGGTTGCAGTGAGCTGAGATCACGCCACTGCATTCTAGCCTGGGCCACAGAGTAAGAGTCTGTCAAAAAAAAAAAGAAAGAAAGAAAAATAATTTGAGATACACTGGGGTGTTATCTCTAAGGGCTCTTTCAATGCAACATTCTATAATACTAATTAGGGCTCAGGTACTCTCCCCTTTGAAGAATGGTTTTAAGAGGATTAACAATGTCAAATTATTCTTTCTTTAGTCAACTGGGAGATGCTTTCTTTCTATTATCCCTGATGTTAACATTTCCTATCACATCAGGTTGCCTATCTTTGGCTAGACAACACCATGGATTTCTCTTCTAATTAGAACTCAAGAATGAAGATAAACTCGCTCATCTTGATAGTGGATCTTATACATTCAGCTTTCCAGTTAACTTCCAGCAGGCATTAGTGAGGCTTAATTAACATTTGTAAAGCTCCGTGATGCCCTTGTAGGACAGCACACAGTAAAGCAAAGGACTGTGATTAGGGGAGACTGCTTAACTACTGATGACCCATCAACAGTTTTCCTTCCCCCTTTGTTTTTCTGTCTTCTCTCCAGGCTGCCCGAAATTGTTTGGTGGGAGAAAACCAAGTCATCAAGGTGTCCGACTTTGGGATGACAAGGTAAAAGAGGAATGTGGTGCCAGTGAAGTCTCAGGAATGGGACTCAGGCCCTGGAACATTCTGACCTTCTCCCTCCACTCTCTCCCAGGTTCGTTCTTGATGATCAGTACACCAGTTCCACAGGCACCAAATTCCCGGTGAAGTGGGCATCCCCGGAAGTTTTCTCATTCAGTCGCTATAGCAGCAAGTCGGATGTGTGGTCATTTGGTGAGTGTCATGCTGGGCCCCACCACCCCACGATCTGGGCTGCGGGCCAGATGTTTCCTTTATCAAATGCAGATAATCCTACCCACCCTGAACCCTGTATTGTATCGTGAGGGTGTCCCACTGGGGGGCTGTGTAAGAAAGGCCCTGAAAACAATGAAGGGGTCCTCATTATTGCGTTTGTTCTTAGAGATATTGGACATGGTGGTGGGGGTTAAAATAAAAGTGGATACAGCATTCTGGTGCCAGCTGCTGTAAAGTCAAAAGCTGAAGTCAGGAAATTCAAATAGGACCCCCTTGAAGGCAGGGACCATGTTTTGTCCAACGTTACATTTCCATACTTATCTCTCAATGAGCGTTAATATTTTACTCATTCATTCAACAACAATTAACTGAGCATCTATTCTATGCCAAGGGCTAATCTAGGTGCCAAGGATGCAATGGTTCATACGACAGAAAAGACTTCTTTTCTTTTCTTTTTTTTTTTTTTTCAGGACATAGGCTTGCACTGTTGCCAGGCTAGAGTTCAGTGGCGCAATCTCAGCTCACTGCAACCTCCCAGGTTCAAGTGATTCTCCTACCTCAGCCTCCCAAGTAGCTGGAACTACAGGTGTGCACCACCACACCCAGCTAGTTTTTGTATTTTTGCTAGAGATGGGGTTTTACCATGTTGGCCAGGATGGTCTCCATCTATTGACCTCATGATCCTCCTGCCTTGGCTTCCCAAAGTGCTAGGATTACAGGCCTGAGCCACCATGCCCGGCAAGACTTCTGTTCTTTTGGAACTAAATTTGAGATGGGAGAGGAGACAGAAAATCACAAAAGATCATAATAACAATCATAAACAATAACAATCACAAACAAGCTAAGGTATAGAAGATAAGGCCAGGCAATCATGAGTAGATGCTATGAATAAAATAAAACAGTAATGAGGCAGAGTGACTAGAATGGAGAGAGGGTCTGCTTTGAATAGCGTGGTATGGGAAGGTCTTTCTAAGAAGGTAATTCGTGAGCACAGACATGTGATAGAAGGGAGCTGTCAGCATTTGGAGAGCCAGAGAACAGTGTCCCTGATGAAGGGAACAGCAAGTCCAAAAACTTGGTACATTCAAAGAACAGTGGGTACTAACTTAGCGGGAGAACAACAGGCAGTGAAGCTGGCAGGCCATCATAAGGAATGAATGAATGAGTGAATGATGTTGGTATGGTAGGATGTACCAAGTCTTCTTGCTGGATTTGTCATGTCACCTGAAGTCATAGTTTGTGCATACTAAAGTGTACAAAAAATATACCAGACAACCTCTTTGATTTGGATTACAAGAATAATTATACTGTGGACAGGAGCTAGTTGAAGATTGATTTTTGCCATTCAGTATGAAGGAAGGGTTTGATAAGGGCTTACTAGTAGTCAAAACCAGGGGGAGATTCGTTAGGTAAATCTCTTAGGAGAAGAGTGAGTCTTAAAAATCTTCTCCAGCGTTTTACACTATCCATCTCTAGGAGCCAAGTGGTTTGTTAATTATGAGTCCTGCCTGTTACTTAAAACAGTCCGCTACCCACCAAGCCTAGCAGCCGCTTTGTTAACCAGGTTTAACTTACAGAGTGGACTTGAAATAAATTGTGCTGACAGCATTCTTGGATGACGAGATCTCCTCTCCCCAGTGTGTATAACTAGGAAGGTTGGGGTTGATGTGTAGCCATCTCACCATGGGTGATGAAACTGATCACACTGCACCAAGCAAGGGCCCCAGAATGAGACATTTGGAGCAAAGACCACTTCAGCACATTCACCTTCTGATTCTGAATGGGGTTTATTCAGCCAAAGGGTGTCAGCCTGGAAATTTCCTGCTGTATCTTATTGAAATTCATCCCCACCTATGACATATTATTTGAAGAGAGCCCAGAAATGAGGTCGAAGGATGGATGCAGAATAGAAGGGGGTCAATGAAAAAAAAGCATGAGAAAACTGGGGGTGCCAGCCTAAGCAACAGAAGCCTGGATGGGCTAAGAGCTCCATGCCTGCATCAGCCCACTGGACTTTGTTCTATGTTTTAAGGTCTTTTGCCTTAATTAGCGGTGTGCTATTCTGAACAAGTCAATCTCTTTGCACTTCACTCAATATTTTCATCTATTCACTTCTCATCTATGCATCTATGTATTAAGGCAATCATTCTGAAACCATGTTTTAGCAGCAGCACATATTCAAAACAATTTTCACTAAAAATTCTGGTATCTTGGGGTGATAAACACTCTTATTTAGGGTCAGGTTGTAGATTTCCAACTCCTGAGGCACCTCTGAGTAACCCCGAGAGATTCTGTTCCACTGGGTCTGGGCCCACGAATCTGCCACTTGAACAAGCCTCTGAGATGATTTTTACTCGGTGTTTTGGGGATCATGCTTTGGGAATGTCTACTCTAAGATTCTCTGGAACAAACCTTGAAAAGTGCTGGATTAGGTGATTTACAAGCAGTCTTCCTGGTCTGACAACCTGTGACTATATCAGCACATGATAAGGACAAAGCTGACAATTCTACTAAGGGCAGAAGAAGAAAGGAGAAGGATTAAATCAGAAGTCAAAAATCGATGAGCCAAAGATGTATTTTGCTTGGTCTACGTGGTATTTTTAAAATTCAAGAAGTTCACCTCTTAATTTTTGACTTCCTTTTTAAAAATCAGAAAATGTTACAATTCTGATCCCTCATTTTCATGTGCCATTCTTTGGCTGGAGTCAAATCATAGCTGTCTCCTTAAGACGGAGCTGTTTATCTCATTCTCCACAATTCTCCCCTATCACACTCCACTCATTTGCATATTGCATGTTGGCATTTGAGTCTACAACTGTTAGTGGCAGCATTTGAGTCTGATATAACAAAGGGTCTATCTTGAAAATCCTTCTCCACTAGAAAGGTTGGAAAATTTCAGTTCTTTAAAAATAGGACAGGCCTAATAAACCTCAGGTTGACTTGATGTCCTTCTGGAGGTAGCACATGAATCCTAATGCCAAGGCGTCTGAAATTTCTAAAGGCAGGTTGGTTTGTTTGCTGTCTGTGGGCTTTGTCATTCACTGTGCTGTGCTCACCATTTCTCGTAGGTGTGTTGATGTGGGAAGTTTTCAGTGAAGGCAAAATCCCATATGAAAACCGAAGCAACTCAGAGGTGGTAGAAGACATCAGTACTGGATTTCGGTTGTACAAGCCCCGGCTAGCCTCCTCACATGTCTACCAGATTATGAATCACTGCTGGAAAGAGGTCAGTGGAGGAAGTGCTTTCTGCTGCATTGTCATATACAATTTCAGGACCTGCCTCCTTCACTAGAGAAAGTAACCCTCTCAGAAGGATAAGGCAAGAGGGATGACTCATATAGATTAACAACAGCATGACTTTGAGGGTTTTTTAACGGGATAGATCCCCCATCCCTAATGGAGCTGACGGTGACCTTAAATATTATTTTGTTTACTATATAATGCCACAAGCCATAAGCATAACTTCAGAGAGGAGGTTGGGGTGTGGCCTATGCCAACTTCCTTCTCGATTTTCTGAGACAAGAAATAAAATCTGTGATATCATAAAACCATTAAAAGTACATGAAGTTAGTTCTATAACTTGGGGAACAAAGTTCACTCACACTATGAAAATATAAAAATGGCTTAATTTGAATTCATTTTATTCATTCGGCAATTTAAAATGGGGAGCCACTTACTTTGTACCCACCTGGCTGGCTCATTTATCCCGTCCTTGGATTGCAGGCCATGGGTTGAGCCCTATCAACATGAGTCTTAGATGGTCTTTGGTGAGTTAGAAAATCGTACATTTCGGCCAAAGTGGAAAGTTGCTGAAACAGAAAATTAATAAAAATTCACATCATTGTAGGACAACAAAGTGGAGTACAAACAATTTAGAACACTAGGTTTTGTGTCAGCTTTACCATTTATTTGCCATTTATCTGTGACAATTCTCTGAACTTCCTTTTTCTTACTGTTAAGAGAATTAAATAATGCTTGATCTATGAGTTCATAGAGCCTTTATAACGAGAAACAATAAAGTCATAAACAAGGGCATGAAACAAATCTTATCCACTTCATAAGGATTAACTACAATAATAATAATGACAGCTAACGTTCAGTTAGCACTTTTTCCTCTTTTAAACATCTTTTGTTGATTTTTTAAATTTATAGACTATTTTTTAACAAAGAGTACAGGGTTCTCAAATACCCTCCTCACCTGAACGGTTTCTCTGTTCACTAACATTTGGCAAGAGTGTGATAATTTGTTACAATTCATGAACCTTTATTGATACATTATATTAACTGAAGTTCATAGTTTACATTAAGGTTCAGTCTTTGTGCTTAGATTTCTGTAGGTTTTGATAAATGAATAATGTCATGTATCTGCCATTATAATGTCAGACAGAATAGTTTCACTGCCCTAAACATTTCCTTTGCTTCACCCATTTATTCCTCTCCTCATCCCCAAACCCCTGGCAACTGCTGATCTCTATACTGTTTCCATAGTATTGCCTTTCCCATAATGTCATATATTGGCATCATACAGCATGTATGCTTTTCAGGCTGATTTCTTTCACTTAGTAATATGCCTTTAAGGTCCCTCCATGTCTTTTCATGGCTTGATAGCTCATTGCTTTTTGTTGCCAAATGATATTCCATTGTATGGATATACCACAGTTTGCTTATCTATTTACCTACTAAAGGAAATCTTGGTTGCTTTCAGGTTTTTTTGTTTGTTTGAGTTTTTGTTTTGTTTTGTTTTGAGATGGGATGTCAGTCACCCAGGCTGGAGTGCAGTGGCACGATCTCAGCTCACTGTAACCTCTGTCTCCCAGTCTCAAGTGAATCTCCCACCTCACCTCCCAAGTAGCTGGGACCACAGGCATGAGCCGCTATGCCCAGCTAATTTTTTGCGTTTTTGGTAGAGACAAGGTTTTGCCATGCTGCCCGGATGAGCTCAGGCAGTCCACCCACCTCAGGCCTCCTGCAGTGCTGGGATTACAGGTGTGAGCATCCAGGCAGACTGGTTTCTTTCACTTAGAGATATGCCTTTAAGGTCACTCCATGGCTTTTTGGCTTGATAGCTCATTTCTTTTTATTGCTAAATAATATTCCATTGTATGGATATACCACAGTTTGTTTATTTACCTACTAAAGGAAATCTTGCTTGCTTTCAGTTTTAAGCAATTATGAATAAAGCTGCTATAAATGTTTATGTGCAGGTTTTTGTATGCACATAAATTTTCAACTCGATTGGGTAAGTGCCTAAGAGTATGCTTGCTGAATCATACGGTAAGGCTATGTTTAACTTTTTAAGAAACTGCCAGAATGTCTTCCAAAGTAGCTGTACTATTTTACATTCGCACCAGCAAGGAGAGTTCCTCATTAGCATTTGTTGTTTTGGATTTCAGTGGTTCTAATAGATGTGTAGTTATGTTACATCATTGTTTTAATTTGCATTTTCCTAATGACATACAATGTTAAGAACATTTTCATATGCTTATTTGCCACCTGTATATCTTCTTGGTGATATCTATTCAGATCGTTTGCCCATTTTTCAATCAGGTTCTTTACTTTCTTACTGTTGAGTTTTAAGAATTCTTTGCGTATTTTGGATACAAGTCCTTTATCAGATATGTGTCTTGCAAATATTTTCCCCTATTCTGTGACTTGTCTTCTCATTCCCTTGACAGTGTCTTTCACAGAGCAGACTTTTAAAATATTTTAACAAAAGCTCATCATCAACTTAATTATTCATGAATTGTGCTTTTGGTGTTATATCTAAAAACTCATCCCCAAGCCCAATGTCACCCAGATTTCCTCCTATGTTATCTTATGGAAGTTTTTATAATTTTGCATTTTACAGTTAGGACTATGATCCACTTTGAGTTAATTTTCCTGAAAGGAGTAAGGTCTGTGACTAGAGTCACTGTTTTCTATATGGATGTCTAATTATTACAGCACTGTTTGTTGAACAGATTATACCCTTTCTCCTCTGCTCCTTTGTCAAAGATCAGTTTACTATATTTATATGGATCTATATCTGGGCTGGTTCATTAATCTTTTTGTTTATTCCTTCACTAGCACCATGTGTCATTATTACTGTATCTTTAGAGTAAGTCCTGAAGTCAGGCAGGGTCAGTCTTCCAGCTTTGTTCTTCTTCTTCATTATTATATTGGCTCTCTGGGTCTTTTGCTTCTCCACATAAATGGTGAGTCAGTTTGTCAATATCTACAAAATAACTTGCTGAGATTTTTATTAGGGTTGTATTTAATCTATAGATCAAGTTGGAAAGAACTAACATTTTAACACTGTAGTGTCTTCCTATCCCTGAGCATGGAATATCTCTCCATTTATTTAGATCTTCGCTTTCTTTCGTTAGAACTTTTATTTTTTTCTCATGTAGATCCTGTAGATATTTTCTGAGTCTTATACACACATATTTCATTTTTTGGTGTTCTTTAGCAATAATTTCATGATGTATTTTTATACGTGATTTATTTAATTCTCAAAACAATTTAATGAAGTAGATACTATTATTGTCCCCATTTTGCAAATGACAAAACTAAGGTTCAGAGAGGTTAAGTAACCTGCTCAATGTCACACAGCTAATTAGTGGTAAAACTGAGACTGAACACTAGTCCATTGGATTCCAGAATACCTGCTATTAACAACTAGGGCAATGTATATGGAATGCAGTCAATATGGAAGTGCATATAAAAATCTGCAAGGGATGCTGCTATTAAATTCTGGTTTGTTTTGGATTTACCTACGACACCCAGATACAAGGAATTTACAGAGTTCTTTTTTCCCTTTCCAGAGACCAGAGGATCGGCCAGCCTTCTCCAGACTGCTGCGTCAACTGGCTGAAATTGCAGAACTGGGACTTTAGTAGAGACTGAGTAGCAGGCCATGGGCTGCAGATCCTGATGGAAGAAGGATATGTCCTCCTCCCATAGAGCATTAGAAGCTGCCACCAGCCCAGGACCCTACAGAGGCAGCCTGGCCTGTGGCACCAGTCCCTGAGTTACCATGGAAGCAGCATCCTGACCACGGCTGGCAGTCAAGCCACAGCTGGAGGGTCAGCCACCAAGCTGGGAGCTGGGCCAGAACAGAAGTGATGTCTCTGCCCTCTCTCTAGCCTCTTGTCACATGTGGTACACAAACCTCAACCTGACAGCTTTCAGGCAGCATTTCTTGCACTTCTTAGTAATAGAGACAGACAGGAGTAAGACCCAGATTGCTATTTTTATTGTTATTTTAAACATGAATCTAAAGTTTATGGTTTAAGGGACTTTTTATTTGACCCAACAACACAGTATCCCAGGATATGGAGGCAAGGGGAGCAAAGAGCATGACTCTTTTTCTAAGAAAACTGGTGAGTTAACCAAAGTTAGAAAGAGTGTGCTCTGCTGCTATGATGCTGTCAGCCGCAGCTTCCTGCCGCAGAGAATGGTGGAGCAGCTGCTCCAACAGGAGGCCGGATATTCTGAGAAGCAGCTCTGTGAGGTTTTACAGAGTATGCTGCTACCTCTCTCCTTGAAGGGAGTATGGTGAGACCCATTGGATGGATTGGGGTGAATAGTTCAGGTCCCATGCATGGAGCATTGGGTATCTGATGTCTGCGCCAGGACAAGAGAACATCTGATGGTGGGGAACCACGTGGTACAAGAGAGGCCTTAGGTTTTATCACTCCCATGCTCATCCTTTATACCAAGCTATGCAGGTTACTATGTCTCTTCTGCACAGAATGCTTCCGCCAGCATCTTGAGAAGAAATAATTACTTGTAAATACTGACTCCTCTGGTCATCCTTTCCAGCCTCTGGGAATCAGCCCCCTCTCTGCACTATCTAATCCTGATCAACAGAGGGCAGCATTGTGTTGATTAGTGTTGGCCTGGCGAGCAATTGAAACTTGTTTAGGTTGAGCAATTTTAAGGTTGAGACTCCAAGTCTCTCAAAATTCTAGGAGAGAAATATAGAGTCTGTTCTTGCTCAGACCATCAGGATACAAACAGTCAGGCACTGACTGGGGCGCTTCCAGGATGCAGGAGAATGCCTACTCTGGCTTGAGCACTTCTATATGCAAGGTGAATATGTACTGAGCTAGGAGCCTTTCCTGCAAAATCTCTGTTCACTCTGAGTTCACATCCCCATGAGGCAATATTACTATTCCTATTTTACAAATAATGTCACCGAGGCTTTAAGAAGCCAAGACGTCTGCCCAAAGTGACAGAACTAGAAAATCTAGAGCTGGGATTCTAGCCCAAATCTGTCGACTCTAATAGACAGATTCTTTATTCCTATTCAACACTGCCTCCTACTGAAAAGGAAAGGGATTGCAGGGGGGAATAAATACAGCAGAGAGGAAAGACGGAAAGACAGTAAAGAAGTCAATATAGAACCACTAGCGAATAGTGTTGCTCTGGCACAGGGCTCTGTGGTTGATGCATGTCCCCCCAGCCTGGAATAGGATTTTCCTTTTCCTACTCTGTATCCTTATCTTGGTCATGTTAATGACTTTGGAGTTATTCAGTTAATGAACTCTTTAATTCTCACAACCAACCAATCAGGTTGCTTGAAGCCATTTATAGACGAGCTTCAAAGCAACTTTAAAAGGTTCTTCTGTAGAAGTATGAGTTCTTCCTTTAATTATCATTCCAACTTTTAGCTGTAGTCTTCTGGAACACTTCATGGGGAGGGACATTCCCTGATATACGAGAAGATGGTGTTGCAATTGGCTCTTTCTAAATCATGTGACATTTTGACTGGCTTGAGATTCAGATGCATCACTTTAATTATAATTATTGTGAAGTGGAGAGCCTCAAGATAAAACCCTGTCATTCAGAAGATGATTTTACTCTGCTTATCCAAAATTATCTCTGTTTACTTTTTAGAATTTTGTACATTATCTTTGGGAACCCTTAATTAGAGATGATTTCTGGAACATTCAGTCTAGAAGGAAAACATTGGAATTGACTGATCTCTGTGGTTTGGCTTAGAAAATTCCCCTGTGCATGGTATTATCTTTTTCAAGCTCAGATTCATCAAAGCCTTAACTGAAATGTGTAGATATTTCACCTCCCAGTGTCCTATCCCACAAAATGGGCTTCCTGTCTGGTTTTTCCTCTCACATTTTGTAAATGGTGCCCTGTGTTTGTAGAGAACTCCCTTATACAGGGTGTTGGTTCTAGTTTCATTTTGTAGACTTTGCATTTTGTACCTTTTGACTATGTATTTATATTTGCATCAGATGCATATTTATTAATGTACAGTCACTGCTAGTGTTCAAAATAAAAATGTTACAAATAGCTGTTATCCTTCGTGGGGCACACAGAGTTAAAAGTTGAGTATAGCAGTTAAAGCTGTATTTTAATAAATATGGTGCATAGGGCCTGGGTTCTGTATTTATTCAAATGGCAAACTCTCAGGACTTTTCCTTAGGTAAGAATGGTTACATGGTTTCATTTTCCACAGTCAGTTGTTAAGACTACATATCATTGAACAACATTAATTCAATAAGTAAATATCAAATGTTCCTATGGGTTATGCACACAGCTCAGTGTATGTATCCTCATGCAAACAAAGATGGAAAAGGCATAGTCTTTACTTCTAAAAAAAAGGCTCCTAGTCTGATTGAAAAGGAACACATATAAAGAAATAAAATTATAATACAACAATTAGGGCAATGACAAAAAACTGTGGTCAAAGAAGAGAAGAGCTCAGAAAAAGTGATGGAATCTAACAGGGAAAGGATGACATCAAGAAAAACCTCTTGGAGCCCTGCTACTCAAAGTGCAGTCCCTGGACCAGCAGCAATAACATCACCATGTTGTGAGAAATGCAGATTCTCAGGCTTCTTCCTCACCTACTGAGCAAGAATCTTCATTTTAACAAGATCTGCAGGTAATTTTATATACATTAAAGTTTAAGAAGCACTGTCATAGAGGATCTAATGTCTACCCCAGTTCTGAAGATTAAGTATGAGAAGCATCAGTTATAAGGCAAATAAGTGGGCAGAAATAAGAGAAATACTTTCCAGGTAGAGAGGACAGGATGGATGGGAAAGCTAAAGCTATTGTCAGTTCAGTATTGCTGGAGTGTGTGTGTGTGTGTGTGTGTGTGTGTGTGTGTGTGTGTGTGTGTGTGTGTTTTCTCAGAAAGGATAAGGATGATAGAAGAGGTGGGTAAATTGAAACTGAGACTATGAGACTGTAAATCTAGGCAAGAACTATACTTTCAAAGACCAAGAAGATGGAATTTCACCCTATAGGTAGAAAAGAAGTCATTGCACAGGAAGAGAAGGACAAATTTGCGATTTGTGTTTAAGAATATATTCTGGCAGCAGTGTGGTGAATGAATTTGAAAAAGGCAAAGTCAGTGGAAGAGAAACTAATTTGGAGATGATTTCTGCCTTTTTCACAGTACCATATTATTTTTCCTGATCATTCACTGTCATCTGCTGTGTGGGTGACATATGGAAATTGTAATCTGGAGTTCACTCACTGTTGGATAGCAATAAAATAGCTTTCCCTCTGAAAACCCCAGTAATATAAAAGCTGGGTGGCCACAGTTTTGGTGTGCTGAGCACTCTGTGCCTTTCAGTCCGCCAAATGTCCAGCTCCATTGCCAGAGTCAGTTCATGCGCCAGTCGACCACCGAGCCTGGATAAGAAAGCTCATGGCTTCCATGCAGTCCTTCCTAGAGCTCAACTCTGGGCTGGAATCTCACTGTTAAATCATCCACATAAGAAAGTCAAAAGCAGATTAGAGGAACAGATCTGCTTCTCAGTGGATTTTTCCTGCAGACCCTGCTCTCCTTGGAATCTCCTAACACCTAAGCCCACCCTTTTGAGGAAGAGACAAATACTCCATTCAGCAAGATGGGGAGTGTGTGCGTCAGCAGGTGCAGAAGGAGCTGCAGATTCCCAGTGAGAGGGCTTGGGAGGGTGGCCTGGTCAGGAAGAGAGGGTTAGTCGTGGAAGCTGCATTTGAACAGTAAGCACATGGTTTTACTTCAGAATATATATTAATTTGCATGGGCTTTAATGGTGGAAGTGCTGAAATTTTAGTGCACTGAAGTTCACTTCCCAGAGCCACCCCTTGTCACCACACTAGGGGTGCGTGTATGGTCATGTAAGAGTGTATCCCAATGACTTTGAGATTCTCCCCAAGGTACAATGTAGAGTTGGCTTGTAGGATAACAGAATCATACAGACAGTGAGTGGTGGAAGGAGTTTTAGAGGTCATTTATTTATTTCATAAATGGTTACTGTTCATCTACTATGGCTCTGTTAGGTACATGATGTGAAAAGATGACTAAGATATCAGTTAGGGACCAAATATGTCACACTCAGTATAATTCAAGGAGAGCTTTTTCATAGAAGGACTATTTAAAACTGTGTGGGTCAGTTTAGGAGAACCTTAGAAAGTGGTACAGAGGAAAATAACAGCTGAGTAGTCATGCTATGGTTTGAATGTTTGCATTCCTCCAAAATTCCTATTGAACAATCTCCAGTACAATAGTATTAAGCGATGGGCCTTTAGGAGGTGATCAAATGGAGGAGAAAATATATTTACTATTCATTAAGTGAGGTGGATCATCATAAAGGTCTTCATCCTCATTGTCTTCACGCTGAGGAGGTTGAGGAGAAGGAGGAAAAGGAGAGTTGGTCTTGCTATCTCAAGGGTACCAGAAGCAGAAGGGGTGGAGGAGGTGGAAGGGGAGGCAGGAGAGGCAGGTACACTCAGTGTAACTTTAGAGAAATACATCGTAATTCTGTCTGACCTTTTGCCTTCTCGTTTCTCTAAAAATGTTTCTGTATGACACAAAGCCTTCTTTCACTATGTGCATTAGCTTCAGTGCCCATGTCATAGAAGGGTCCATGTCATAAAAGAAGTCAAGAGTCATCTTGAGTAACCAAAACCCTTCGCCAGGTTGACTACAACATCAGTTTGTTTCCTGACAGTGCCTCTTCTTTCTTTCTTTTAAACAAGATGGGGTTTCACCATGATGCCAGGCTGGTCTTGAACTCCTGACCTCAGGTGATCCACCCACCTCGGCCTCCCAAAGTGCTAGGATTACTGGCGTAAGCCACCGCGCCCGGCCGACACTGCCTCTTTTACATCTTCTTCTTCATTGCCTGGCCCTGGCTCAGCAGCACTCATCTCCATCACATCATCATTTTCCGTTAATCCTTCTGGAGTGACAGCTATTAGCCCTTGATTTTTCCAAGATCCACGTCTTGAGACCCTTCTCACACGCCCCTTACCCACCTTTTTGCGATATGCTCCATCTCTTTTATGATTTTCTTGATTGGTTCTATTGTAAATCCCGTGAAATTAGGCACAACACCTGGACACAGTTTTCTCCTGCAGGAACTTGTTGTTTTGGGCTTGATGGCTTTCATAGCTTTTCCTGTAACAATGATGGCATCTTCGATGGTGTAATCCTTCCAGACTTTCTTGATCTTCTATCAGGGTTCCCTTATAGCCTTGATAATCTTTTCCCAAGAGTGCTGTTTATAATGGGCATTAAAGTCCTTATGACCCTCTGATCTAGAGGCTGGACTAGAGATGTGTTTGGGGGCAAATAGATCACTCTGAAGCCTTCAGTGCTGAGCTCATGGGGTTCTAGATAACCAAGGGGCATTCTCCAATATCAAAAGAACTTTGAAAGACAGTCCCTTAGAGGCAAGATACTTCCTGACTTCAGGGACAAAGCATCGATGGAACTAATCCAGAAAAAGAGTTCTCATTGTCTAAGCCTTCTTGTTGTACAACCAAATACCGGCAGCTGGTGTTTAACATTTCCCTCCAAGGCTTGGAGGTTAGCAGCTTTATAGGTAAGGGCAGTCCTGATGATACGCCTGACTGCATTTGCACAAAACAGTAGAATTAGCCTCTCCTTTCCTGCCTTAAATCCGGATGCTCGCTGCTTTTCCTTACTAATCAATGTTCTTTGTGTCTTCCCCACCCACAGAATAGGGTACTTTCATCCAAATTAAAAATCTGTTCAGGCAGATACCCTTTCTCCTCCATGATTTTGTTAATGGCATCTGATAACTTGTCTGCTGCCTCTTGGTCGACAGAAGCTCCTCCTGTTATCTTGACATTTTTTAAGCCAAACCTCTCTCTGAAATTACCAAACCATCTTTGCTGGCATTAAATCCTTCCGCTTTAGATCCTTCCCCTTTCTTTTGCTTTAAGTTGTCATATAATGACTTCATTTTTCATGACTCATATTAGAGTCTATGGATATGTCTTTCTTATAGCAATCTTCATGGCAATGCGCCCGCCTAGCAGGTGCATTTTCAATATGAGCTAAAAAGGTATTTAACCAAAAGTGCAAGGTTTTCACCTGCTGGCACAGCAGCAGCTACAGCTTCATGAATTTTCGTTTCTTTTCTTTTTTTTTTTTTTTTTTTTACAGTGGTCTTTATGCTGAATTCATTCAACTTAACATGATGGGCAACCGCAGCTGCAGACCTCAATCTATGGTACATATCAAGAAATTCAACTTTTTTCTCTGCTTCTTGAGAACACTTCCAGCATCACTGGTGTCACTTTATGTGGGTTTCATACTGTTATTCAAGGTTTGCTATATTACACTAAACATGATGAAAAATGTTTCGTCATGAGAACCAGGAGATACCACATTTTACTCTGGTATCCAATTAACTGGAGAGATGAATTGCTCACTCAGATGTGATTAGCGTCACACAGCACTCAAAGTAGATACTGGCGACACTTGAGCTTACCACAGTAGCAACAAGAGATGGCCACAGGCCATTTCAGGAGTGGTGGCTCACACCTATAATCCCAGCACTTTGGGAGGCCAAGACGGAAGGATCACCTGAGGTCAGGAGTTTGAGACCAGCCTGGTCAACATGGTGGAACCCTGTCTGTACTTAAAAATACAAAACTTAGTCACCTGTGGTGGCACACACCTGTAATTCCAGTACTTTGGGAGGGTGAGGCATGAGGGCCACCTGAGGTCAGGAGTTTGGGACCAACCTGGCCAACATGGTGAAACCCCATCTCTACTAAAAACACAAAAATTAGCCAGATATGGGGCCACACGCCTGTAATCTCAGCTACTCGAGAGGCTGAGGCATGAGAATCACTTGAACCCGGGAGGCCGAGGTGGCAGAGAGCTGAGATCATGCCACTGCACTCTATCCTGGGCGACAGAGTGAGACTCTGTCTCAAAAAAAAAGAGAGATGGCCACAAAATCACTGTAATATAGTATGGACTACAGTTAATCTTCTGCATTTATGATTTAATACTGCATTGTTATGTTTGTTTATATTTCTCCTAACTGGAAGGCACAGTCAAGAGTTTGTGTCTGTGTGTAAGTTTTGATAAATTTTAACTTTTTATCATAGATTTGTG